TATTATAACTAGGTACAATTTGATACGGGTAGCTCCGATCTATGGGTGCCATCTATAAATTGTGCAACATGCCAAAATCAAAACAAATTCAACGCGGCCGCATCTAGCACATGTCAGCAAACTGGCCAAACATTCACCATAAGCTACAACAGCGGAGGCCAAACCGCCGGTGTGTTAGACATTGATGCGCTCAACTTTGGCGGCTTAATAATTAACCAACAAACATTTGCCGAGGCCACCACAATCACCGGGTCCAACCTAAACACCGCCTACGACGGTATACTGGGCATGGCCTGGCCCGCCAACGCCATTAGTCAAGCTGTGCCGCCATTTAACAACCTGGTCAATCAGGGATCGGTAGCCCCTGTATTCTCATTCTACCTGAACCGTGACATTAATGGCCAACCGGGCGGTGAACTACTGTTGGGCGGCTCAGACCCCGATCACTATACCGGCGCCCTTACGTACGTACCGGTAGTACCGCTCAGTCCTAACGCTCAACAATTATGGTGGACGTTTTATATGGGCGGCGGTAGTGTGGCCAATGGTCCACAGTTTTGTCAGGGTGGTTGTATGGCTATGGCCGACACTGGGACAACCTTGATTATTGGACCCACCGCTGATATAAGCAATATAAATGTTTTTATCAATGGCCAAGATCAGGGTAATGGCTATTATAATGTTGATTGTAATAGTGTGGCTAATTTACCAGTGATTAGCTTTTGGATTAATGGTGTGGAGTTTCCGCTCACACCTAATCAGTATGTAGTGAATAATGATGGTAGTTGTCTGTCCGGGTTTGGCTATGATACAGGTAGTTCAGCGACTATATGGACTTTGGGTGACGTGTTTATCGGCCCCTATTATACCGAGTTTGATTTTGGCAATAGTAGGCTTGGATTTGCTCAGGCTGCTTAGTTTGATAACATTTTAAATAATATTTGAGGTTCGTTTAATCTAGAGCATAACTGTAATATTGATTTAAAAAAATTAATAAATTTGTTAACTATATTGGACTCTATAATTATATTGGATGGTGCTAATAGGAGAGTTAATTTTAATTATAAAATATTTTTAATAATTTTGTGTATTTATTCAATAAATTTATAATTATATGTTTTTGTTAATTATACAATCAACTATCGTTAGTTAATCTCAATAAAAATCGCATTTATAATATAACAAATACCATAACTGTAATTTAAATTACAAGTAATGGGAAATATTTGTAGATTTTAATTTTTACAATTATAATGGAACGATAGATGGTGGATCTAATATTTATTTTACAAATAATTAGTAAACAGTAACTCGTCGTTTCCCTCATATTATTCACCCCATATACAATGTTGGCATATACTAAAGGGTCCGGGCCCGGAAAACATTTTTTCTATGTACGGCAATACCAATATTTTGACGGTCGATCGGTCGACCCAAATGCCGAT